ACTCAATGCTGACGTCCGCTGGACTGGTCCGCGCAGAGATCAATTTTTACGTCCGCAGTGTTGCACAATAAACGGCCCGGCGAGCTCACGTCGAACTGTTTTGGATGCGACACCAATCAGATAAATTTGAGAATCTGTGTCATTTGTGGACGAAATGGAGTCAAAATTTGAAGAGTGTCTCATGGAAATTAGAAAACTTTATGATAAGTCAATGAAGGAATATAAAGACTTTCAACGAGCACCAAATTTGTGGGAGGAAATAGCTCAGTTCCTTGGTAAGGTAGTTCTTTTTTCTTTTTTTCTTTTGTTGTTTTAAAGCTAAAATGCAAACAAGTTCTTCCTCCTCATCCTTGACATCATGACTAAAATTGCAAGAAATTAAAGAATTAGTCGGTCAGTACGCTCGAGTATGAAGTCTCAAACATCCGCAGACAATATGCACAGAGTCCACGTGGCTCACGGAACGCACACAGTACGCCTGAGTATGTGGGAGCCTTAAGCATTGAAACGTAACTTTCATGCCAGTGGTTCATTCTTATGTTGTAATTTAGCCTGTAACCACTAGTTGGCAGCAGTCAGCTAGCCATTTGGCTCCTGCCAGAGAGTTTAATGCTAGCTCAAACATTAGCATTATGAGTAAACATATAGAGCATGAGTTTTTTAAAAAGAATTTTTGGAGAAAAAATGGCAATCAAAGTATCGCAATATATCACAATATATCGTATCATGACCCCTGTGTCAGCCCCATCATAAAATATGCCGACTGGTGYAAACGTTGTCCCGACCTCTCAGATGTGACTTTGATTCGCTCGTTGTTGGACGACTGCTTCTCGTCCTCCTTCTCTCTGAAGTACTCTTCCACACACTGCTCCTCGAACTCATGCAGACTCTTCAGTTCCTCAGTGTTCAGCACCAGCTCTGAGAGAGGAGACAACAGAGAAGAGGCATGGACAGCTGCATGTGGTCCACTCTGTGAGGTCTGAAGAGGGAACCGGTTCTGTCAGGTTCCGCCCTCACAGCCACTCTGAGGTGTCTCTCACTCACGTAGCCTCCTCTCGCGGTCGTCACGTTCGCCCTCCGTCCTCCGTCGGCAGGTGCAGCACAGCCTCTTCAGCACGATGTAGATGTGGGGAAATATGATGAGGGGGGGTGGGAGGATGGGGCGATCGTGGAAGGTCATGATCAACTGATATCGCTGGAACTTCCAAACCTGATTGGAGATGGACTTTACCTCGAAGAAAGTGTTGCTGTGGCGGAAAAACAGATAGGAGATAAAATGTTACGCTGATGAAACTCGGTTATATTTACCAATGAAACTTAATCAATCCGGTTATTTAGACAGTGGTGGGCAGCGCTAATCCAAAAATTAGCTCCGCAATTTCTAAAGCACTTATGTAAATATTTAGGTCCGCAACTTTGAAAGCACTTATGCCATAGAAAAATTAYCGGGTGCTAATTCTAAAGCACAAGTTCAATTTGACACTTACTAGCTGGCAACAATTMTATTCGTACAACACTGCCAACTAGCAGTGGATGAACCCTTGTACAGCTTAACCCTACAAACACCGATTACTGGGGATGTGATTTCCTGAAACAGACCTTTAGCTCCTGGTGTAAAAATGAAAAACTTGTTGAGGATTGCTAGTTCGGCTGATTCTTTAAAAACTTGTTGAGGATTGCTAGTTCAGCTGCTTCTTTGTCTTTTTCTTTTGTTTGTTGTAGAATTTTTCATTAAAGAAGCATCAATAAAGCAATTTTAAAACTGTTTATTGGAAAACTGAAGCGATGCATTCTGGGTATACATGACAGATTTGATTTGTGACGGGAAATGAAAGTTTTCCTTGTAGTTGCTCCATTTGACCACTAGATATCTGTCTAACCTCGTTGGCAGATTGCTTTGACAAATTACGTCAATTATTGAGCTCCAGCGTTTAAACTATTTTTTTTTAAAAAGGAGCTCCGATTGTAAAGTAAAATAAATCAATACATACAAAATTTTAGTAAGGATTACAAACGTTTACTGTTTTTACTGGGAAAGGGAGTACTAAACATTGCTTTCCTGCTACGTAAGCAGACACAAAGCATTGTGGGAAATCAGAACCGTGACCCAAAGCAACAGTCAGCAGGATGTATACCTTCACAATAAGTGTGTTTATCTGGGAGGGGTGCTGTTGGATAGATCACATGTGTTGTGATTCATTGACAGTCATACCTTCTGCTGTTCAACATAATGATGACTGGAAGATAATTAGTTATTAGTGGTACTGCATTTTAATTTTAGAAAGCACAAATCCACTTATGAATTATAAAAATTTGTAAGACCGTTAAAGCGCAAACGAAATATTTAGGTCCGCAATTAGCGGCTTTGTGCTTTAGCGGACTGGTGCCCACCACTGTATTTAGAWTACYTTTTACAGACATAAAAACCTGGATAAATCTTAATTTTCTGCTTGTGTCATATTGTTAGATTTAAATAAAACTAGAGCCTGGTCAGACGGTGACTTCTTCTGAGTTTACTGACTTGAAAACAGCGATGAGCAGGTTGACGAGCAGGATGTTGGCCACCAGCAGGTAACAGGCCATGATGGCAGGTGTGAGCCAGGCCCCAGGAATACAAGGAGGAAGCTTTTTTCCATCTTCATCATACAAGTTTTCACCACATGGAGCTGAAACACAAACAGGTTTTCTGGTCTCTAAACTCAGCTCAGATATCCACACAGCTGACAAACTGAACTCTAACATGGTTTGGTTCTGAGATTCATATAAACGAGGTGTCCATCCCAACTGTTCTCATCTGAGGTTCCAAGATGGTGGAACAAGTTACCAGATCAGACCACTTTACACAGGTTTACTGCAGTCCTTAATGATTACATGAGAGTTTGTGACTCCAGTGTAAACGCAGACAAACAATAATAAAAAAAGAGTTTAGTTTAAGAAAAAAAAAAACAGTTTCAATGATTATCCTGGTCTCCTGACTGGACTGGTCTGAAAACTTCAACTAAACTAACTTGAATAACTTGATACACAAAGATAAAAGTTTTGTTTCTTACGGTTGATCTCCATGGCGTAAACTGTCCATCAGCAGCACAATGAACAGAACAGATACAGAAGAGAATCATCATCAGTGAGGAAGACCTCATGCAACTTTTTATTTTTTAGCAAATTAATTAAAAYTCTTTCAATAACATCAATGAATCAAAATTACAACACATTTTCTATCAAACCTATATTTAAGCCTTAAAATGAGCAAATACAAAAAAACTAAAACTGACCAACTTCCTTTTTTTCTTTTAACCTGGGTGGGTTTTGGCTTTTCAAAAATCTTTTGTCTCATTTATTTTATTTGAGAAATGAAATAAAAACCAACCGACCATCCATCCATCCGTCCATCCATCCATCCATCCATCCATCCATCCATCCATCCATCCATCCATCCGTCCATCCGTCCATCCGT